GACAACAACGACAGTCTAATATTTATTGTGTGTGAAGGGCTAAAATGTCTATGGGTAGATCTAAGCTTCAAATATTGTGCTGACTGCATTCAGCCCTCTCATTGCAGTGACATGTCGTGCTAAGAAGGGCTATTGAAGTAAAGTGGTGTTATAATTTTCTCTTTAATGGTTTGTGTCCATTCGGGAATTTTTATGTGAAAATAATTACAATATATGGCTGGTGAAGAATTGGGACACTTTTTTTCTAACCCCTATGAAAATTCAAGTGAAGGGAACATGATATGTATGTGTTTATTGAGAGTTATGGCTTTGGGTAAGGAGTTTATTTTTGTGGTTTGCGATTGGTTTTGTGAAGCTCTAATAGATTCCAATTCAAGACACCCAATTAAATTTCATGCTTCATGAGAAATATTTAATTCTAGTTAGCTATTATAAACCAATTACAAGGAAATTCTAAATCCACATTATTTCCCTTCCAATAAATCTCATTGAAGTAAAAATTGATGATTATTTGGTCAATGGTTTTTGGGTTAGTGGTGATTAATTTCCAGTCCCTTGTCTTTGTTGTTAATTTCGCCAATATTCCTAGCCCTTAGCACGTGCTTTCAAAAAACAAAGCAAACATTTGATTTACAATCGATAATCCAATACGGAACTATGTAGTCTCTGTTGCCGAGGATTAACGCGGATTACTTTGTGAATAGTCACGTTTTGCGTTTCATGGTACGTAGGTACTTATATTGAATATATGTTTGATTTATTTAAGGTACTTAAGTAAGGACATCAGCTGAGCATATAATCTGAATATCCTTTTGAAGTCAGATTGGAAATTTTTGGGAGGGCAGAAATATATTCTTATCATAGATATTATAACTATCCTAACAAATAATTTACAATCATAGAGAAAATGGAGCCTGAAAAACAAGAAATTTTAATTGAATCCTCATATATACAAATTAGCACGTCGATCCGTATCTCACATAAAATGCTATATTTTTACATATTTTTCCACTTTAAAAAATTCATTTATTTCCTAATTTTAACAAAAAGTTGACAAAGGTGGTCTGCACAAAAAGTGAAACTCACTCGAATTCGAGCGAGTACTCTCCAGGGAGCATGAAAAAATCGAGCAAACTCAGTTTTTCGATGTCGCTCGAATATGAGCGAGCATATTTCCCTCGTTTTTGAGTGGGCGCAAGTTTTGTTTAAAGTCTAGTAGATTATACTCTTGTCGAGCGCTCTTTGATTTCTGTCATAGGATTGTTTTATTTCTATGTATGCGTATGTTTTGTAAGATCCAGAAAACTCCCACTCTTCGAACAATCCTGCGCGGGAGCAAGTTACGCTTCCAAGTGAAAATGAGCAAATATGTGCTCCGGATAGTCCTTTTGGATTGGAATCCCAAACACTATATCATATACACCTAGGAGTATACCCTTCACCATGGTATGGAGGGTATATTAAATTTGTCATTCTGTTTTTAACACCTCGACATATACATTTTAAGACTCCACGAAGTATATATATATTGCAATTCTATGTCGATTTAGGGATGTCCGACCAACCGTCTGTGGAAATAACTCTAGCTTCCGAACGAAATGAAGTAGGTTGATAAAATTTTATTCAAATGTATATTATGTATTCAAATTTGGTATTTAAAGTTCGTAATGGATAAGACAGAAAATTGTCTGTGCAGGTTCACGTCTTCATGTAGCCCCCATATAACGGCACCTCCCTATACTCGGTATATTGATGATTTTAGCGACATTATTCACCGGAATTGTTTGATATTTTGTATTTGAAGTTCGAAATGGACAGTACAGCCTAAGACAGAAAATTGTCTCTGCAGGTCCACGTCTTTGTATAGCTCTCATATAACGATACCTCCCGATATTCGGTACTTTGATGATTTTAACGACATTATTCATCGGAATTGTTTCAAATTTGGTATTTGAAGTTCGTAATGGGTATAACAGTCTATGCCAGAAAATTGTCTGTGCAGGTCCACGCCTTTTTATTGCTTCCATACAATGGTACCTCGCTTTATTCGGTATTTTGATTATATTAGCGACATTTTTCACCAGAACTGTTTCAAATTTGGTATTTGAAGCTCGTAATGGATAATACAGCCTGTGACAAAAAATTGTCTGTGCAGGTCCACGTCTTCATATAGCCCCCATATAACGGCACCTCCCTATATTCGGTATATTGATGATTTTAGCGACATTATTCACCGGTATTGTTTGAAATTTGGTATTTGAAGTTCGTAATGGGTACTACAGCCTATAACAGAAAATTTTCTGTGCAGGTCCACGTCTTCGTATTTCCCTCATAAAACGGTACCTCCCGATATTTGGTATTTTGATGATTTTAACGACATTATTCATCGGAATTGTTTCAAATTTGGTATTTGGAGTTCGTAATGGGTACTGCAGCCTATTACAGAAAATTGTCTGTGCAGCTCCACGTCTTCATATAGGCCCATATAACGGTACCTCTCGTTATCTGGAATTTTGATGATTTTAGCGACATTTTTCACCAGAATTGTTTCGAATTTATATTTGAAGTTCGTCATGAATACTACAGCCTAACATGGAAAATTGTGTGTGCAGGTCAACGGTTTGGTACCTCTCTGTATTCGGTATTTTGATGATTTTAACTACATTATTCACCAATTTTTTTCAAGTTTTGAATTTGAATATTGTTATGGCTTATGACAAATTTGCCTATTCAGGTCCACGTCGTCGTATAGACCAAAATATAATGGCTACATTCGGTATTTTTAACATTTTAACAGAATTTTTAACGGATTTTATTATTTTCAAATTCGTTCCAAATTGCGGAAGGCATTCAAAGTTTGGCCCGGCCGAACTTACAGCTTTTTTATTTGTTTTTAAATAAAATTAGGTGTCAAAATGATCGAAATAGAATAAAAATTTCCTCTTAGAGTAAAAATTTTGAAATGAAATATTCTTTTCTGATTGGTGTGTTCGTTTATGCTACGGACAGGGCAGCTGAGATCGTGTACAAGAGCCAAGAAGAGAAAAACTGAAGATTCAAGGATACGATGGATTTTGTGTATTAAATCAACAATATATCCCCCATATAACCTCCCCGATATTCGGTATTTTGTTGATTTTAGTGACATTTTTTACCGAAATGGTTTCAAATTTCATATAAAAGTAACAATATCGGTCAGATTTGACTGATTTTTCTTTAGATAATGTGCCAGTGGGTGTGATATCTCAAATTTAGTTTTGTGAAAAATGTAACTCTCCTTCAAAACAAATAAAATAGTGTTACGGTTGCTAGAGGTGAACTGTAATGCCCTTCGCAATGAGGAAGGCCCAAGCCAAACTTGGAAAATTTCGTCAAAACATCGAATATCGGGGGAGTCGTTCGGGATCATAGTACCAAATGACAATTTGGGGAAAACCTGGAGAAAACTTGCACTTGACAAAACGTATATATGCCCCGAATTATAGATCTCTTTCGAAACATAGCATCAAGAATATTACTTGCTTCATGGAGACAAATAAAGAGCTGAAAATTGAATCTAATTTAAAAGTATGTTGCGGGAAAGAAGATAAGGAAAATAGCGTTAAGATCAGCAGGACCGAATTTTTAATACCCCCAACCATAACGTAAAGAAAATCCATAAAAATGAAGGTATCGGATTTCAATATTAAAAAGAATTCCATTTTAAAATTAAAATGTCAGCAAAATCGCTTCGAGAAGTCTTTAAAAAATCGTAGAGTGGGCGGTACAGCTAAGTTGGACTATACTCGTAGGCAATATACTATGCATAGAAAATTTTTCTGCTAAAGGAACTGTTATATATTGCGAGTTTCAAATGCTAAATTTGAAACAAATTCGTGGAAATGTGTTTAAAATCGTAAAAAAAAAACGAATATCGGAATGTACCATATGATATATAAGGCTTGCTGATAGAAGGGATTTTAAACGAAATTAGAAAATAAATCTGTCCTCCATAGTACGATGGAGGGTACACACATTTCTGGAGATTTGCCTTATAGACAACAGTTAAATACAGGTTTAAAGAAGTTATATTGGAATAATTATTTTGAACACTAAAATTTTTGTACAATGGAAAGAAACATTTAACGAAAATCTACGAATAAATTTATAAATTGTCTTGAAATCCAGTTGTCTTCTATATGGCATTATAATTAGTATTTATATACTATTATTGAATTTAAATAAGATATAATTTTCATTTCCATCACGTCTTAATAAAATGGAATTTTAATTATAATTAGTACATAATTCCATGTAACTTTGCCCCCACACTGTTGGACGCCACTGATTTCATGTGCATTCTGTAAATATTCCAGTTTGCTCGGCTGCTGACCCTCTGTTAAATACACGTTTTCCATTTTAATTCTCAGTAATTATTAATTCAACACAATGGGAGAGAGACTGAGTTCCCCATGTGTGGGGGGCTCTCTAAAATATTCATGAGCACGAGAAAGAAATTATAAATAAATCCATAACAATGCAAAGCGCATAGCTCCCCCCAGAAGCCCAACAATAATTGAGTAGTCCATGAAAACTCCCCACTGTTGTTTGTGTGGGGAATAACTTTTTTTGTTTACAATTGAGAGCAGCACAACAACAAACAATAACAAAACATTTAACATGGGCCAGCAACCACACACAGAGTGGGGAGGCAGTGGAAATGTGCGTGAGAACAGAGACCATAATCTCTGAGAAGAAAAGAGAACGAGAGTGAGAGCTCCACAACCTACATTGCATTACCCATTGTGTGGGGTGTTTTTATTTTGTGTGTCTGGTGGTGGAGCATGCTACTGTTACTCACTGAGTTGCTGAGAGAATGTGTGCGTGCGTGTGGCTGTGTGTGTCTGTTGAACGTTATTGATTTCCTCTGTTAGCTCTGGGGAGCTGTTGTAAATGTTAAATTGGTGCTCTGCCAATGTTAGCCGTGCGCTCTGCTCAACTCTGCCGTAAAACAACAACCCATATCGATTGTGTGCTGTGGTTGCTGTGAATTTCTTGTATTCAGTTCCGGACGTTAAACGCGACTGTGCGGTTGTTTTCGTTGAACTAATGCGGAGGAAATTTTTTCCAATTATTGTTTTTCTTTGTACCAAACAACAAAAAAAGAGTTGAGTTTTTTTGTGTTGAAGAAGAAAAAAGAAGTTGTAGAAAAATAAAATAAAATTCGTTAAGCCCCCCACAATCAATACTAAGGAAATAAAAAAGAAAATAAAAAACGGCGGTTAAATATTTCGTTTTCCAAACCAAAACCAAATAAAATTGGGAGATGAACAAAAATTTGATAAAAAAAAAAAGAATTTTTAGTTTTGCTTCAAATTAAAATCGAATTTTAATAAAATCCAATAAGAAAAAAAAAAACAAAACAAGTGATTAAATATTAATTTGCAAAACGGAAAAAGAGAGAAAAAGAAAGAAGATAAATAAAGCTATTGTGAGAATTGTTTAACTTTTAAACAATAAAATTAAATTTTATCTCTGTTGCGAAAAGTGGCTCGAAAATTTAATAAAAATTTGTTTTTTTTTAACAAAATAAGAAAGGAAACACCAACAAAGAATCAAATCCTTTGAACCTCGTCTACTGCGCCAACTTTGTACAACTTACAAATACATTGGCATTGCCACCTTTTTGAGGTATACACACACAAATACAGTGACGAGAAGGAGATCTCAGATACTTCCTCCACAGACTCCAAATTTTGATGTACAGAATAGAGTCTGTATCTAAAGAGCAGCCAGCCAGCAAACCAACCAAACGACAACACCAACAACAATAATAACAAGCCAAAAACCCCAACAACAAAAAATATCTACCAGACAAAATAGTTAAATCATTATTTCTGTGTACCTATATGCGAGAGTTTTATGACCGTCAGTCAGTCAGTCACTGCTAAAGGAGTTTTTTTTTATTATTGCCAGAGAAGAGAACAACAACTTTAGCCACTGTGTGTTTTTGTTGTTGTTGTATATATAGTGCATATAGAAACTCACCAAACAGCATCCTTTTTTTGTGTGAAGTTGGCCATTTGAAGTTGTCCCAAGACACCAAAAGAAAAAACCTGAAATTTGAAAAGAAGTAAAAAAACTGGTTCAGTGTTGGAAAACTTGAAAAGAAATAGATTTGGATTTTAAACAGCTGTAAGCATCAGTATCAGAGAAAAAAAAAATAATAAAACACAGAGAGGAAACTATTACAATTCGAAGAGATTTAATTTTGGAAATTTAAAGGTAGGTCTTAAAATTAAGAAAAAAAAATATATTTTTTAAAATGGTTATTTTTTGTAATATAATAAATAATGACAATAATTATAACTATGTTAAATAAAGTGCAATAGCATCGCTACCATGGTGTAACGATAAGGTGTTATATCAGCTGGTCAAAATAAGATATTTTATCTGATTTATTTATTATCAGAAATTGTTTAATCTTTTGGTAATGTATTTTGAAAGGCTCGTCCAAAAATCAGTTGTAATAAAAATTGCTTTCTTTACACCATAACTGGTACACTGTGAAGGGATAATTTAAAATTAAAACTGCCATGAATGGTGCATACTTTTAGGATGTTACTGACAAAAAGTAAAAGTAAAGTGAGTAACTCTGAGTGCATGGTTGCATCGCTTTTTATATCCTTCACCATACTATGGAGGCTTTGTCATTCCGTTTGTAATTCCCCGAAATACTAATGAGATAATAAGCTAATATTTTGAAGTCGTGCGAATTTTGTCCGTATGCAGGTTACACATTGTCGTATATCACCCAACTGTACCTCTCGATATTCGGTATTTTTATGATTTAAATTATATTTTCTAATAGAATTGTTTGAAATTCTCTACTAAGAACTCGTTAGGGGTTCTAACTCTTGTGGCAGATTATTGTCCATTTAGATCCACGGAACATTGTCTACACAGGGTGAGATAAAAAACTACACAGATAATTTTCTGTCTTAGGCTGCAGTATCCATTAGGAACTTCAAATACCAAATTTGAAACATTTCCGGTGAATATTGCCGCTAAAATCATTAAAATACCGAATATCGGGAGATAGCGTTATATGGGGGCTATACGAAAACGTGGACCTGCACCGACAATTTTCTGTCATAGGCTGTAGTATTCATTACGAACTTCAACTACCAAATTTGAAATAGTTCCGATAAATAATGTCTCTAAAATCATCAAAATACCCAATATCGGGAGGTACAGTCATATGGGGGCTATACGAAGACGTAGACCTATATGGCCCATTTTCTGTGATATGCTGCAGTATCCATTACGAACTTTAAATACCAAATTTGAAACAATTCCGGTGAACAATGTTGCTAAAATCATCAAAATATCGAAAAATTGGAGGTACTATTATATGGGGGCTACACGAAGACGCGGACCTGCACTGACAATTATCTGTCATAGGATGTATTATCCATTGCGAACTTTAAATACCAAATTTGAAACATTTCCGATTAATAATGTCGCTTAAATCACTAAAATACCGAAAATGGGGAGGTACAATTATATCTGGGCTATACGAAGATGCGGACCTGCACAGACAATTTTCTGTGATAAGCTGTAGTATCCATTACGAACTTCAAATACCAAATTTAAAACAATTCCGGTGAATAATGTCGCTAAAATCATCAAAATACCGAATATCGGGAGGTACCATTATACATATGGGGGCTATACGAAGACGTGGACCTGCACCGACAATTTTCTGTTATAGGCTGAAGTACCCATTACGAACCCCAAGTACCAAATTTGAAACATTTCCAGTGAATAATGTAGCTTAAATCACCGAAATGCCGAAAATAGGGAGATACAATTATATGGGGTTTATACCAAAACGTGGACCTACATGACCCATTTTCAATACCAAAAGTCCTGCAGACATAATCCACATTTGAGTAAAATTTTATCAACCTTCTTCATTTCGTTCGGAAGCTAGAGTGATTTCCACAGACGGATGGACGGACGAACATCGCTAAATCACCATAGAATTTTATGCTAATCAAGAATATAAATATACTTTGTGGGCTCTAAAATGTATGTTTCGAGGTGTAACAAAAGGAATGAGAAACTTGGTATACCCTCCATACTATGGTGGAGGGTATAAAAATAAATCACACACACAAATCCAATGTCTAAGGGTGGAAATACATAAAGCGGTGGAAATACATAAAGCGCATATTTGGCTGGCTTAAGTCATCGGCTTGACTTAGTTCGATTTTGGCCCTAGGCTCCTCTGTTCATTTCCGAAGTAGCCAGCCGATGACTTAAGCCAACCAGATAAGCGCTTTATGTATTCCCGCCTTAACTCAGGTGTTTCCACATCTAAATATAGATATTATAAAAACAAAAAATAGAAAAACATCTTAAAAATATATAAACATTCTAAAATATACTTCATTCCTCAACTCATTCTAGGGCGGAAAATATTTCAACTTTAAAAGGGGCTGTGTTATCAATAGCAATAGCTTTTTTGTTCCAAATATAAGGACCCAACCCGATAGAAGCTATTATTTTCCAAATGCAACAAACATTTCCTTTGTAATTCTTGCTAATTTCGATTTCCCTACCAAATATTCAAAAAAAAAAAAGAAAAGAAAAACAGCCCACCTTTCTTTATCTCCCCCAAAATTGCATTTATTTCCAAAAAAAGAAACATATGTTGATTCATTTGACATTTATAATATATTCATTTGTTTTGCGCATTTTCAGACACTTTCATTCATTCATTAGAAGCTACCGGTGATAACAAAACAATGAGTAGTGGCTTCCTTTCCAAACATAAACAAATTTAAGTAATGCCCCCCATTGCAGAGTGATTAGATTGATATTTTTGGGGTAATTTACCGTTGTTATTTTAAGAATTTCCGATAACATTGATTCATACATGGACAAGAAATTGAAATTAATGTGCGAAGTTCGGAAAAAAAATTACTTATGTCTTTTAAATAATTTTTGTCTTTTGAAAAACTTATGTCTGGATGAAAACTCCACTTGGAAGGTCATTTAGCGTCTTCTTTCTCGGGAAGTCTTCTAAATTTTCATAGAGAGAATTTTCTCTCTAATTTTTTTTTTCGAAATTTTATAATGCCTTTTAAATAATTTTCGAATTATATCTTCTTAAAGTTGTAAATAAATCTAAACAATTTTGGACAAATTTGGCTTCTTAAAATGAGAATTTGTTTGTCTAAAGCTCTCCGTTAAATTTCTGTCAACAAATTTTATATTCCCTTGCAAAAGTCAAAACACATTCTTCTTTACTTCTAAATTATTCACCTACCCTATTCGAGCTTTCGTCATTTCTGTGTGTCTTGATGGTTTCATCTCGTTTGTTTGATTCCCCCAAGGACTTGGTTTTGATTTAGTTTTGTGTCTTCCTGGAATAGTTATTCCTCTACTCATTATTATTCTCAATTCTCGCACAACTACTTCACATTACGGATGTTTTTTTTTGTCTCTTGATTTTCTTTTATTATCCTTCTTTATTAACCTTCTCTCGGAGTAGTTTCAAGGCGCACTTTTTTATTTCATATTTTTTTCGTTCTTTTTTGACTCTCATAATCAGGGAATTAAGTTTTGCTCCATGACAATCTACTACGACTACAACTACATTGCGGAGGTACTGCGCGTGCATATTTCTCGTTTGCCTTAGCATTGCCAAGCCCTTAAGAGGAATCTCTACAAGTGTTTGGTTCATTTTTCCTCTCACTCTATACGTTTGTTTTGCCGGATCTTCTTTATTAGCTTAGCCATTGTTGGAGAGTTACTTCAACCTGTTTGTGGATTAATTTTCTTGGAAATGAATATGCGATTGAGACAATTACGAATTGACAGGATAATAGTGGTGGTAATGTGCCTGTGTGTGTGGGTGTGTAATTGAAGGCATATTAGCTATGAATTATTAAGAAATGTAATATTGGTAGGAAGTGTTTTTTTTTTTTGATGACTTAGAAAATAATTGTGAAAGCAATGAACTTTGGATGACTTTTCCTGGCAACAAAGGGAATCTGAAGGTGGTGGCGAGATTATAATATTCTCTGTTGAAGAATATATAGAATATCTTCCAAAGACCATCTTTCTACAGAAGAAATTTCAATGAGCTTATATTTTTAGAAGACCATCTGACGAACTCTTGTCTATGGCATACCTTCTAAAAGACCGCCGTCTACAAAAGACCTTGAGAAGTTTTCCGTCTATAGAAAATTTATAAAAGTTTTCTGTCTATAGAAAATTTTGAAAAGTTAACTGTCTACAGGAAGTCTTATTAGGCTTCTGTCTATAAAAAAATCATATTTCTTCAGAACCCTTTAAGAATTCTTCTTTATAAATAGAACACCTTTTTAAGGTTAACTTTTCCAGAATACCAAGGATCTTCGAAAGGTTTCCTGTCTATAGAAGAGGCTATCAAATCATGTATCTAGAGAAGCCTTGAAAGGGTCTTTTTTCAATGGAATTCATAGAATACCTTAAATAGATCTCCCCCCATAAAACCCTTTTAGAAGACCGTGGAATGGCCTCCTCTTTTTGCAGGCCCTTTATGGATCTCCTATCTAAAGAATACCTACTAGAGGTTTCCTCTCTAAAGAAAAATGTTGTAAGGTTTTTTTTTCTTTAAAGAAGTTTTTTTTTGAAGACAGAATACCTTCGAAGATGTAGGATCTTCGAAAGGATTCCTGTCAATAGAAGATCTTTAAAAGTCATAGATCTGGAGAAGCTCTCTTTTTGTAATAGAATCTTCCTCCTATAGAACTTTTTGAGGGGTCTCCTTCCTTTACAAGGCAGTCATAGGGCCTACTCTTCTCAGCAAGCCCTTGATGGGTCTCCTCTTCAAAGACCACATTTTAGAAGTTCTCTCTCCATAGAAAACTTTTAAGCGTTTTTTTTTCTTTATAGATGTCCTTATTAAGGTTTTCTGTTTAGTCTCCTTTACTGTCTCTATAGAATACCAGTGGTAGGGCCTCTGACTGTTGAAGAAAGTTCAGTCTCCATAGAAGAGAGCTTTTATCTCTATGAAAATTATTTATAATGTTCTGAGTTTATGGACAACCTTTTTAGGGTATTTTGAAGGTTTTCCGACTGTGGAAGAGAGAGTTAAGAGTTCTGTTTCCATAGAAGGAAGCTCTTATTCGTTTATAATGCTTTGTGTTTGGAAAACCTCTTTTGGGTCTTCTGTAGGTCTTAGTTTTATCGAAGACATTTGAAAAGTTCTTTCAATGAAAGACCTCCGA